GAGCAATGAGGAAGGAAGCCTAAGTTGTGCTAATTTATAGGCATTTATTTTGTGAAGACTAGTGTTTGTAGTCAATGGCCTGCTTTGAAAATGAGTCAATAATGGAAAAACCCTCATAGAATGAAAACGAACTCTGCCAAAGTTCGATTGCCAAAAATCCAGGTGACCATTATAAAAGCATATAAGACCGCTATTAAAATCTCTACTGTCATGTAAAGCTTCTTGGACTCGTCTACGGTGTAGTTGTAGGTTCTTTGATTACCTTACGGTGGTCTTTAAGCACTTCTAAGCAATTTTCGAAATAAACGCGTAAAGAACAAACGAAGCAGATTTTTTGAAACGACACTAACCGATCTAATGCCACATTTAAAAGCATTAAAGACGAAAAGAAACAGCGGAACAGTGGCAATAATCGCAAGTAAACGCGAACATCTTGGCGTACCAGATGGTCTTTGCTCCTCAAAAAAATCCGTTTGCTGAGCAAGTGAGGTTCAAATATAATCTAAATTTTCATACATTTCCTTCTGCACTATTGCCAAAGAGTTCTAAAAGCTCATGGTTCATGGTGACTGTGCATGAATAAAAAAACGGCGACTTCAGCTCTTTATCCAGACACAATGAGATGATTCTTCTTTATGTGATCCAAATTTTTGATCTAGATATTTTTGCACTTTATTCTACACAAAAACTGGGTAATTGAAACCGGCTCAATCTCGTACATTTATTAGAAAAAAACTGCATCAGTTACACATTATAGGAAACAACCATGACGTAAGTGCGAAGAACTACACAGCACGTCGCCAAGCGATATCAACGCAATAAATACGTTGCATATGCTTCGCAAAAATCTTAAATCTTTTCAGAAGTTGACGAGACGTTCAATCTATATTGAATACAATAGAAAAATTATGAAGGTCGGAACCCAATTCAACAGAGAAGACTTATAAGACGGGTGCTTCGAACGGAACTACCACAGCACTTACTTTGATCGTATGGTGACATAGATAATGGACACGTTTCCGATAACGCTGGTGGATGGAACTACAATGTAGAATATCTAATGCCTAAATGGAATAGGGTAAGCGTTCATGATCACAGCTGAAATAATGGTTTCAACGAATGGAAGAATGGCGAAATATGGTGTTGTCTATCAAAAGTGGCAACATACAAGGCAATTCGAGATTTCGGGGTAAGAAGGAGCTACTTGGCGAGTTTCTTCATGCCACATTCGTTGAAAAAAGTTTTCATTGATACTGAAAGACAGGTGAAACGAAGGACGAGCACGGTGTGTTGATGAACGCATTAACCCATAGAGAGCGCAATAGCGCGTTCGTTCTCCACCCCAGATTCCTGCGGTCCAGAGTCTTGCAAATATCTCAACATCATTGCGGTTGGATCACACATAATACCCTAACGTGAAATATTGTATTAGGCAGTAGATAAAAAAGTTAACGTTGTGACTTCGACTACAGCCTCAGCTTAATTGGGTTCGTTGCCGGTTTGGGCCACTCAGATCAATCTCTTTGGCGGAAGATTGCCGATGTCACTGATCGATAGAACTAGCTGAGATACAGGCAAAACGAAGAATCTGCATAATGAAGTGGTAAACGGGTTAGCCCCTAGAAAGGATAATGACGCGTTCGTCTTCCAGCGCAGACACCTCCGGTCCGGAGTGTTGCAAATATCATCATTGCGGTTATTTATTGATAATTACTTTGATGGTTTTGGTTGAATTCAAATAAAGATCATGGTTGTTTTGCGTTTTTTGTTTTTTCCTGTGTTTTTTTTTTGTGATTTCCAGTAGAAGAACAAGCGTTAGTAGATGTCTCTGCTGGATCCTTAACTACCTGGTAACGGCTAGGAGTTGTTAGATTGAGAGAGGTCAAAACAAGGAAGCAAAAATTACGCATGGATCTCTAAAATCAAAAAATTTTCGTTCATCTGAAAAGATGTGGACGTGGAGTCAATTTTCACTAGCCTCGATAGTTTTAAGATTGTCTTAATTCGTCATATATTCAGTCGAATCCCATATGAACTTCAATTCCAGACGGAGAGGGTGGATGGAAGGCAGAGCTTTTCGCGAAAAAGGAAACAAAAATCCAGGTACCAGTGCTTTTCAGGATTTACATCAAACTGGCATGTTTGGAAGCGCATTATCGAGACGAATACAAGTTGAGACAGCAGGCAACATAATTCGACGAGCATATCAGTTTTCGGACTTTCTCGATGCCGTGTACAAAATATGAACGAAAATTTTATGTCCTATTAAGCTCTAGGAGGATCTTTCTGAAGCTTTAGAGCTCTATACAGCAGTCAACAGTAGCGAATAACACATTTCACAGTGATTGGCCGTATCCGCAAATTTTATTTTAACCTAATGAATAGCGAAAATAATGTGAAATAAGGTCACGCTATTAGTCTGTACTTCACCGCAAGTTATCGTATTGTCCACGAGGCAAGCGCTACATACATGATTGGCGATTTAATATGCGTATATATATACATATACATACATATGTGTATAGATATAGCCATCGCGGTATTGAACATCCCTGAAAGTTTTCACTTCTGAGATTTCATGATGAACTACTATAAACAAATGGCAATGGTGAGACCAAAAATCATTGCCTTCGAGGCGAAATCGGAAAAAACAATTCAACGTACCACTTAACTATAGCAATACAGCTCTATAAAAACAAACTCTATGAGGGCCGAAATTAGTTACGAGTTCATGTCAGCTTATTAGGCACATCATTAATTATTGATGAATGTATAGGTGCAAAGTCAAAGTCGAAGAACGATCGTCAAACAGTCTTCTAATGTTCTATCATAGTACTACGCAGAGAAATAAACTAGCGTGAATAGCTCGACTCAGCCTTGGTCGCAAATGGTCAGCGAATGAAATTGCTGGAGCACAAATTTTATAATAAACATTTCGATGGTGTCTTCTTCAGGGTAACAAGGATTTGTCTAAAAATTCTGTAATTCTAATGATGCTGGAAGTTATACGAAGAGTATTTCTAGTTCGTAGAATTTCAAACTTGGTCGTAATTTTGTCGATAAAAGAATAGGAGATAAAGCGTTCGACAGTGATCATTATCGATGCTCTATGCATTCAACTTCATCCCAAGGGCTGTAGAGGCGAAAGAACGAGTATTTTGCGAATACAATGACTCTACTAACAGTTAATCTATACATTGTTCTTGCAGTACTAAACAAGGCGAGCACCGATTCGTCGTCCCTCACCGCAAGAACAGGCAAAAAAGTGGAAAATATGGTAAGGTCTAAACACCTAATGAGAGCTGATCATTCAAACATATAACTACGTCACTAGATAGTTACATTGAAAGCTGATACCACTCATCTATGAGCCTGCACTCTTTTGATTCATTATTGTTTGAGTTCGTCTTCATCACCAAACCTATCTTTATTCACTCATTCCGGTTTCGGGTACCCCTGTTATGTCGAAAAAAGCAAGAGCCCAGTTGTCGCACTGCAATATAAGCTTTTACTCCAACTTGCTAGCCTAAATCACAGTTGTACCACGAAATATTCAGGCCTTGAAGAAATTCTTCGATGCGCGGCCGAGCTATATGCATAGGTTTCAAGAGCTTAAGGACAGCAACTTGCCAACCTTCTAAGAAAGCCGATATCAGCCGAAACTTTAGTTATTATGAAACAAGCTTTCAATTCACAACACGTGGTCGACGGCGTAATAAATTGGAAACGTGAAGATGCAACTGTGTGTTTTTTGAACTTCGGCAATCGTGTTGGTCTTGGTTCACCTGTGTCACCTGTAACCCCGTTGATCGTCGAGTGACTTACAAGCCATCACATAAATCCGAGTACTGGTGAAACTCCGCCGTCACCTCACTTCATCCAAACGAGGCCATAAGTTTGCGAATATCCACGTAAAAATTTGATTTTCGTGTTTTGAACAGTTCAAAAACTTTCAGTGAACATCGAATGTTTAAAGATTCAGCAACCATTTCACCAATGAACACTTTGCTCTTTCAATGAAACCTAGCAAGCTACTTGAAAACTGCGATGGTTAATTGAGCTTAGGTAAAGTCTACTAGAAAATTATCAATACGTCTTTCTGTAGGATTTTTGATTAGTATGAGACAGCTGAGGTAATTAGTTATAGATAAGGAAACTAGCAAAATAAGTTGACAGGCTCTTTCGTCATCTTCACAGGCAACTATTGTTGGCAGTCGTCCCTGGGTTCCACAATTCGTGCGTGCAACACAACGGTTCTTTTCAGCTGTCGCTATGAATCCCGACCCTATTCCATTTGAGTATCAAGCGTTCTACATAGTGATTCCATCCACCAGCGTCATTGGAAATCTGTTTATCATCTACGCTACCATACGATCAAAGTAAGTGTTTCTGTATCAAGAGATTCACTTAGGATGCCGTTCAACATTCTGTTGAATGGGTTTCTAACTTCTCCAATTTTCGCAGTCGTATCAGGAACTTTTAAATCTCCTGTTTATTGGAGAAATATTGAAGATCCCTCCGCAGCATCTGCAACATATTCATTGGATTCATATCACTTGGTGACGTACTACACAGTCTCTCGCACTTTGTGATGATCATTTCCTATAACATGTAAGTTCGACGTCCATTACAAACGAATGGCAGAAGAATAGAGCCGCCATGAATTCAAATACGATCTGCCTACTTTTCTTGTAAAGAATGTTGTGTAAGTGTACATAGATGGAAAAACTGGGTCATGCCAAGAAACAGCTCAAGCTCAAGCGTGTATTCTTCAGCAAACGCCCACACAACACATTCGCCGAAAACGCCAGCTCGCATTACTCTCTGGGCGACAATGCAATAAAAAATATGTTACTAAACAAAGCCTTAGAAAATATCTCAATCTTCAGTAAGCTATTCTATGATTTTCAGCTGTGCAGAGCATCGATTACATCAAGATATCTGCGTTTACTTGCAATCGCTGCCTCTATTCGGCTGCTTCTTTTCGTCTTTAATGCTTCTCAATGTGGCAATGGATCGATTACTGTCTTTGCAAGAAATCTAGTAAGATCATCCTTGATACGTTTCGCACAAACTGTAACTAGATGTATGAGACGTTCACAGCATTGTACTAAAATAAAAAACTTACAGCTACACCATAGATAAACTTTACAAGAAGATTTACGTGAGTACTGGAATTCTGCTAGCGCTCTTATACGCTCTAGCCATGGTCTTGTGGATTTTTTCTAACAAAACACAAAGAGAGTGGGTTCTTTTCTATCAAAATTATCTCGCTTCCAGTAGCGTTCTGTTTACGCGCAATTCTTTTCTCTTCGGGCTTTCATTCACCTGTATCACCTGTAGTCCATTCGATCGTCGACTCGAGTGGGCACCAGTAAACCTTCCACATTTCCCTGTCCCGTGCAAGAGTAGCCAAGTGGATTCTGCTCGCTTATGCACTCGTCGTTATAGCGTTATATCTTTCTTCTATGCTCTTTATGAAAAACTGTGGCTATCGGGTCGGTGGTCTTCCTGCAGTACGTTAGACATTCCGTGGAATCCAGTCACTAATAGCTCTTGCGCATCGGTTCCCCTTCATACGCATTTTGTGTCCGGCCCACCTTATCTTCGACTGTTTGGCGTACGAAACGCCATGTTTGATTTTTAATCGTTGACGAAGATCGGAGCTTCGGATCCCATCCCTTGCTTTTGTGGAACAGGATACTCCTAACATTATCCTTTGGACTGCGTCTTCGATAACGTTGAGTGACCTTTCATCCCGCTTACGCAGCGACCAGGTTTCTGACGCATGTGTTAGGGCAGGAAGTACCGCTGAGTCCTAAAGGGGGCACGGAGTCGGGTGTTCTTCGCTCTTCAGTACATCCTCGATGCTCTTGAAAGCTCCCCAAGCCGCTCGTTTCCTTCTGCTCAGCTCTGAAGCTAGGTCGTTCGTCATATTGAATTTCCAACCTATATAGATATAATTGGAGCATTCGGAGATATTCGTTCGAATGAGCGTGAATGGGGCATGCGAAACAACCCTAGCGATACGTCAATGATTCTTGTTATCGTGTGGATGTCGTCCATCGTACTAAATCCTCTTCGACACTCTGCTTGTTCACATGGCTCTCCTTCGTCCAGTATTCTCTCAATCCTGTTTAGAATGATTCGAGTGGAAAGTTTGTAGACGACAGACAGCAAGGAGATGAGGCGATAGTTGCCCATATCGTCACCCTTCTTGAACAATAGCACTGCCTTGCTTGTCTTCCATCGAGTAAAGACCTTGCATTGAGATACGCAACGTGTGAAGAGCCAAACCAGTATGTTTACTAGAACTGGCAGAATGTTCTTCAGATGTTTTGGTCCTATCTTGTCTGGACCTGATGCTGTTCGGTTTTCCACCGACGAAATTGCATTTCTGAAGGGAGAACCGGTGGTACAAGATATCCATCCTTCTTTATTTTATATAATCAGAAGGTAGACGTGGTTATCGAGGAGATCCGAGTAGTATTCGTGAATGATTTTCTCTATTGTTTTTCTGGACGCCGCCACTGTTTCGTCTGGACGTCGGAGTGCAATCATTTTGGTCTTGTAATTGGCGAAGCTTCCGTGGGCATTGCAAATGCTTTTGCCAGCCTCTACGGCTTTGACCATTACTGCTGCTCTTGTCTCTTTAAGATCGTTATCGTTTTTTATAGCTTATCTGCACTGTTTTGCAAGTTCGGACGTTAGTTCGCGGTTGCCTGCAGCTCGTGCGATTCCATGGTGGCGTAACAGCTCGGTTGTTTCTGGAGACAAGCATCTCTTGGTGTCCTTCGAACTCTCACCTTTTATTGCGCTAACGTGAAGATGTTGAATGAGCTGATCGTATTCTTTGTCGATGTTACTGACAACGGCATCTTCCCAACAACCGACTCAGACAGCCGCTCACCATGTTCCATTCTAATCCATGGGTCCTAATGTGACGTTCTTCAAACGTTCTCCTTAGTCCAATCTTGGCGTTGAAATCTCCAATGATGACCTTGAAGAATGTGTGGTCTTCTGTGTAGAAATTCTCCACGTCTATATGGAACGCATTAACTTCTTCTTCGTCACAGCTTAATGTCGGCGCGTAAACGACGAAGATTGTCAAAGTCGGTATTGAAGCACACCTTTTTAATCGTAAACGTCCGATTCGGGTTGTAAGTTGTTCGAATGAATCAATGTGCATGGACAAACTCGTGCTGACGAGAACGCCGACGTCGCCGACTCCTCTACTGTCGTGTGTTCCGAGAAAAAGTTCTTCCACGATGTCACAGGCGGCGTTGAGAGGCTGGCGTCTTCTGGTCTAGACCAGGCCAATGACGCTGTACCTTATCGTTCTTGCTTGCATGAGCAAGTTTTCTATCGAGGACTCGGATGCAAGTGTACGTGCACTGTAGATACAGATCGTCACCATTGCTCTTCGTGATCCAGCCAGCTTCCATTGGTCCTGAGATTTTAGCAGACTCTCTGCACTCGTCCTACCAAAAGCTGCTAAATTAGAAGCTCCATCAGAATCAGGGAAATGAGACCCATCTTTTTACTGGGTTTAATAGTTTGATACCCGCGTGTTGGTCTCTGAAAGTGGGGCTCGGTAATAACGGGTAGCTTACCAGGCTCTCCCAGAGTCGACATACAGTTTATTTGTTGCAGGCGACTCCTAACCGTCTCCTATATACTTCCCTGTCACTTTATTGCATTGTTTTGGTCTAATTGACCCGTAGAATACAATCCTCATAAGCGAGAACGCGCCCACACACGCATGCATGATTACGCCTAGCAAATACAGAAAGTATGTGCCAAATCGGTGTAGCAGAAACAGGAAGTCTATCCACTGGATTCACCTGCCTCTCAGGAAAGGAAAAGTGGCCTTTGGTCTGCGATTAACCCGCTACCGGCCACCTGGACGACACGCCACGTTGCCTCGCGACTAACCCGCTCGAAATCCCCCATATGAGGGAGATCCGTTGGACTTCGTTATCGTTTTTAAATTCTATCTGCCTCAGCTAATATTTTTTAAAGATTCTATTTGCCCTACTCGTTTTTTGAAAAAACTCTATTTGCTTTACTTATCGTTTTTAAATTCTATCGATGGCGCTCATTCCAATGTCGTAACAGCACAGTGAAATGTATTTGAACGGTTCAGTCCGATAAGTGTTCATTCAGCCATCTAAGCAAGTTTTTGAGAGTTGCTTTTTCACTAGAGTTAGAAACTTTGCTTGTTTATGGGTTTTCGAGCCGGAAAACACAGCTGACAATGACCGCTTGAGGATAGAACGAATGTCGGTTACTAATTATTACCACACTATGCACTGGTCTGCCCTTAACTGCGCCACCGTGTGAAAACACTTAACTCTTTTTCAACGTCAGAGATCGTGGTGCTACGAAAGAAGAGTCCCTCGGTATTCATATTGACTAAAAGGTAGAGAGGTTAAAGCAAAAACAACTGGTTATTAATGCATACCAAAGGATGAGACATTTACTTCACCTCATTATACAGGGTGGATGTGATTAATGTCTGGCAAACGGAATGATTCGCTGTTGCTTATCGACACTCTCGTTGGTATTCTTGTCCTCGCAGGCCACCACGTGCTGCGCTATGTGGTTCGCTGCCATTCTGAATATCATGTACTCGTGATAGCTCAGCAAAGGATCTCCGTTAAGGTTCAATGTCATTTGGAGGGAAAAACTTAATCTAAATCCTAATGATGTTAACCTATGGCGACATTCCAACTATGAAATCAATATTCACTTTTTTGGCTAGTTACTTGGACACTTGGACGGTTTATCTGCACGACTTTTGTGGACCCTAGCACATTTTGCCAATCGTTTCTTTCCGTCGCCCCTCGAAATCGTCGTTCATGGTGGTGGTCTTATTCAGGCATTGTGGTTTTTGCGAGCCTCATACCCTGATCTGTAAGGAAACTGCAGCTGCGAGTCCAGCCAACAAACTTTGATTACGAACTGTTTTATGTATTCTAGTAAATGTGCGAACTAGTATGATACTTGCTTTCACCTTTACTTTAGATGAAACAAGGCATTCATTTTTACCCAAAGTTGGTAGAAATTGCGTGGAATTAGAAGGGAACACTGTCGAGGCTAATAAAGCACAGCACATCCCTAGATGAAGGAGCAAAGAAGAAACATCAGAACTAATGTTGCTTAATGTTTTATGCAAATTTTATCTACTTATTCACATGAATCGACTTCACATAATACGCGGATCCCAAAACTTCTACCACTTTGCTCCTTGTCTCGTATCCTTCATCCCAGTTCTTCTCAGAGTTGCGCGTGAATTCGATTTCGAACTAATGATATTTTTCACGAATTCCGTTTTGGTCCAGTNGGCTCCCCAGAACAATCCCGTTGACGGGTGATTGCTGATGGCAAAATGATCGATAGAACTAGCTGAGATACATGCAAAGCGAAGGACCCGGATGGTGTAGTGGTGAAGTGCGCTGCTCCCCGGTAAGGACAACGGCGCGTGTTCGTTCCCCACTGCATACACCTGTGGTCCGGAGTTTTGCAAATATCTCAGCACTTCTATCGATGTCGCTCATTCTAATGTCGTAACAGCCCAGTGAAATGTATTTGAACGGTTCAGTACGATAAGTGTACACAGTTGACAATGACCGTTTGAGGGTAGAACGAATGTCTGTTACTAATTATTACCACACTAAGCACTGGTCTGCTCTTAACTGCTCCACCGTATGAAAACACTTAACTCTTTTTCAATGTCAGAGATCGCGGTGCTACGAAAGAAGAGTCCCTCGGTATTCATATTGACTAAAAGGTAGAGAGGTTAAAACAAAAACAACTGGTTATTAATGCATACCAAAGGATGAGACATTTACTTCACCTCATTATACAGGGTGGATGTGATTAATGTCTGGCAAACGGAATGATTCGCTGTTGCTTATCGACACGCCTCGTTGGTATTCCTGTCCTCGCAGGCCACCACGTGCTGCGCTATGTGGTTCGTTGCCATTCTGAATATCATGTACTCGTGATAGCTCAGCAAAGGATCTCCGTTAAGGTTCAATGTCATTTGGAGAGGAAAACTTAATCTAAATCCTAATGATGTTAACCTATGGCAACATTCCAACTATGAAATCAATATTCACTTTTTTGGCTAGTTACTTGGACACTTGGGCGGTTCATCTGCACGACTTTTGTGGACCCTAGCACATTTTGCCAATCGTTTCTTTCCGTCGCCCCTCGAAATCGTCGTTCATGGTGGTGGTCTTATTCAGGCATTGTGGTTTTTGCGAGCCTCATACCCTGATCTGTAAGGAAACTGCAGCTGCGAGTCCAGCCAACAAACTTTGATTACGAACTGTTTTATGTATTCTAGTAAATGTGCGAACTAGTATGATACTTGCTTTCACCTTTACTTTAGATGAAACAAGGCATTCATTTTTACCCAAAGTTGGTAGAAATTGCGTGGAATTAGAAGGGAACACTGTCGAGGCTAATAAAGCACAGCACTTCCCTAGATGAAGGAGCAAAGAAGAAACATCAGAACTAATGTTGCTTAATGTTTTATGCAAATTTTATCTACTTATTCACATGAATCGACTTCACATAATACGCGGATCCCAAAACTTCTACCACTTTGCTCCTTGTCTCGTATCCTTCATCCCAGTTCTTCTCAGAGTTGCGCGTGAATTCGATTTCGAACTAATGATATTTTTCACGAATTCCGTTTTGGTCCAGTTCTCATTCAGAGGGTTTTTGTTCTTCATTTTCATTTCCAGAGCAAGCAATACCTGAACGCCGACAGTCACAGCAGTGAGTATTTTTAAATAATATTTGTTGACAGAATCCTCGGCGTCGCTAGAAGTATTTTAATTATTCCATTATTTTTGTTACTAACGAGTACCTCTTAGGCCATAAGTAAACGAAGAATTGTGTTGACTCCAGATCGTGTTTTATGTGTACTTCCCAACTAGATCCCTGTGCCCTTTGTTCCCAAATCGGCATGCATTAGACAATATCCATATGAGCAAAATTAATAATACCGAATGTTAAACAATGGCTTCGTATGTGTAGGACATAAACGCCATTGAGTCATAGCGTGATGGCAGGTTCATGGCACAGAAGTTTGTTCAAGAACAAGCATTCTTGACTAAATTTCTTTAACGCAGACAAAGTTAATGCGCATGGATCGACCGTCAAGAACGTCCAGAAGACCGGTTCATATT